GTATTAGTGTATGGACTCTCGGGGTGGGGTCACCATTCAAACACACTTGGTGCCTGATTGAAAGATGCAACATCTGGAGCTTATTGATAACACCCTTGCCTTTCCTATCATTTCCATTTACCCACTTCCTCTCTGGGCCCATTCCACACTCACTCATTGATGTCTTGGTCCCTTGCTGATCCTGGGCCTCTGGTGTGTGCACTGCCATTTCCCTGGTAATGCTGCTTGCAATGGACAGCCTGCTGACCTTTACCATGTATTGCTTCCTTTTGGGAAGACTATGTGGTATTCTTGCCAGTTCTCCCACCAATGGACACAAACCCCATCACCTGTCTAAAATACCACCCAATGTGTGTTCACATCTCCCCTAAGTCAAGTCTGTGTATTACCATTTTATGATAATCCTAAATGGCAGCTTGTACCTTCACCTTACCAACTTCATGCCATGCTTGGGCCACAAATTGGATTTTGTTGTTTCAGCAAAATGGTACCAGACTCTCACCTGTGCTATGCACAGAAGGAAATATTCAGAGTAGGCAGGTTGTATGTCAGCCAATTAATGCTGACCCAACTCCAACGCTGCCATTTTCAGACCCCCTGCTGCAGTATGTAGCCTCTCTTTGTTATGTGCTGAAGATACATTCAGAAGCAGGAAGACCCACTCCCTCCCACCTCCCTAAACTGCTAGTTAAAGGATCATCATGCAGTTTAGTTGTTGATGTCTCTGTCTCTGTTTGAGTTTGTGGAAGTGAGTGATGGCTTAAAGAGTACTCCAGGAAATTTACAGGAAATGGTGCAGGAGGTGGAAAAAGCCTTGGTTGTGGCAACAAGGGAATGACTCATAGCAAGATACTCCTTTGCTTATAGTCCTTAGAGTCTTCTTGTAGCATATCTCTTCACCTTTCAGTTAGGAATAATGTGAACAGAAGGAGCTGCTTGCAAAACTCTAGTCACTTCTCAAATCCAGACTTGAACATCAGATCAGGGTGATCCTTCCAGACTGAAGCTGTGATATCTCTACCATCTCTCAGTCTGCCATCCACATCAGAGACAATGGATGTTCTTCATGCAAGGACATACAAACTGTGATCCATTTGACAAGAGAAGCTCTCTGTCAGGAAATTGGGTGGTGGGCATTAACCATGAATTCACTGAGAGTTCCTATATAGAGGAACAGACTGAAACTGTGATTTTTGGATTTGGTGCATATATTTAGTGTTTATCTTTGTAAATAAAAGTATACAAAGTGTGTAACTAATTCACCTTCAGTTTTCTGTCTCATTGCCTTAGTTACTAGAATAGAACAGTTTAAAAAACAAAGGTCTCCCATCTGGGATTAAGAAGATGAAAATTTTTTCCGAAGGTTGTTGGTCTGTAGAATTCTTTCCTTTCCTGAAGGTGAGGTAATTTAGTTTTGTTTAGGCTGACTAAGATAGATTCTCGATTGACAAGGGAGTCAGAGTATAGAAGGGCGTAGAAGGGAAAATGGAATTGAGGCTAAAAGGATTCTTAGTCCTGTTACTAAACTGTATATTCATCGAACGTTGGTTCCCCACTCCTTAGCTGCTGCTCCCTCTAATTATGGGCCACTTTGTTTATAAGAGCAAGGAAAATGCACCTCGGTCTATGATGCAATATGTTTTGGGAATATGTCTGTCACAGTTCAGTAGCTGATAGTGAGCACAAAATGTGATGTGTGTGTGTATCTTACGTACTTAGCATTGCTGAAAGAGTGAAGTTATGAATAAAATGGTGAGTTTTAATTGACAAAATTTTGGTGGGTGAATAAAGATGGTGGAGTGATTTGAACAATGCAAAGTAAGGATTTATCATAAAATGATACATTCACTGACTTTATTCAAATGGGGTTATTGAACTGTTTGCAATACTACATTCTGGTACTTGGAATTACACTGCTGGCATTAACAGCAATGGTTTTATCTACTGTGACTGCCCTGGAAGGTCTGTCCTCTTGTTCACTTCTGGCACAATCTTTGCCTTTCTCAGCAATTTGCACCCCACATCCTATTCAAACTCTTCCCCAAACACCCCAGCACCAGTTGCTTTTAGGAAGTATGTCTTACATCTAAGAGGTGCAGACTGGGTTTAAGTGGGATATGAGGCCCCTGTTGAGGTGTGCTGTCACTCAGTCAGGTACTTTTGCTCTCTGGCTGACGCCTCTTAATTCTGAATTGTCTCTCAGCAACCATCTATCTCCTCACTAATCTGGTGCCCTCCCATTGTGAACTTCATTTAAACCAACCCCCCCGCTTTATCCTTTTCCTTTTGACATAATTGGTTCCCCACTCTGATAGATGGTGAATAAAAACCGAAGGAACTGTGGATGCTGTAAATCAGAAACAAAAACAGAAGTTGCTGGAAAAACTCAGCAGATCCGGCAGCATCAGTGAAGTAAAGAATCAGAGTTAATGCTTCGGGTCCGGTGATCTTTCCTCTGTTCTGAGGAAGGGTCACTGGACCCAATGTGTAAACTCTGACTTTTTCTTCACTGATGCTGCCCGGCTTTTCCAGCAACTTGTGTTTTTGTTCCTGATAGATGGTGATATGGTGTCCTCCTGGTTCTTGTCATTTGTCTCTCTGAACTGATGGTCAAACTAAACCTTTACTGGTATGATGTGGAAGTGCTGGTGTTGGACTGGGATGGACAAATTCAGAAGTCATACAACACCAGGCGATTGTCCAACAGGTTTATTTGAAATGACAAGCTTTTGGAGCACAGCTCCTTCATCAGGTGCAGTGAGAGAGAAGCACACAGACACAGATTTTATAGGCAGAGAGATTAAAAGATCAGGTAGTACTGGATACAAATTAAATGACTTGAGTAACATGAGAGGTATAAGAGTCTTATAGAGTCTTATACCTATCATTTTACTCCTGTCATTTAGTTTGTCTCCAGAGCCACCTTATTTTTAATTTTTTGTAATTATCTCTCTGCCACATTTAATCAGATTACAGGTCATCCCATCGCTGTTTAGTCAGCTGTTGACACTTTACACACTGTCTAACACTCTTGGTCACCTGCAGAGACTTATCATCTGACACTCCACTCACACTTTTGATCTCTCTGCATATAAACTCTGTGTCTGTCTCCTTCTCACTGAACCTGATGAAGGAGCTGTGCTCCAAAAGCTTGTGATTTCAAATAAACTTGTTGGACAATAGCCTGGTGTCGTGTGGCTTCTAACTTTACTGGTATGGGAATGAGTCTGTGTGCCATTACAAGTATTTCTTGGTATACAGTGTTAGTGTGGCATCAGTGCAGAATAATGCTCTGATGACCTGGAGGTATGTAAAAGCAACAAAGGGAAGAAAGTACCAAAAGATTTTGGTGCTAGAACACAATTCTGTTTGACTTGACTACAAATCTCAAAGGGTTCTGATGAAACATAGAAACATAGAAGATAGGAGCAGGAGGACGCCATTCGGCCCTTTGAGCCTGCTCCACCATTCTTCACGATTATGGCTGATTGTCCAACTCAATAGCCTAATCCTGCTTTCTCCCCATAACCTTTGATTCCATTCACCCCAAATGCTACATCTAGTCGCCTCTTGAATACATTCAATGTTTTGACATCAACTACTTCCTGTGGTAATGAATTCCACAGGCTCACCACTCTTTGGGTGAAGAAATGTCTCTTCATCTCTGTCCTAAATCGTCTACCCTGAATCCTCAGACTGTGACCCCTGGTTCTGGACACACCACCATTGGGAACATCCTCCCTGCACCTACCCTGTCCAGTCCTGTTAGAATTTCCTAAGTCTCCGAGATTCCTCCTCATTCGTCTGAACTCCAGCGAAAACAATCCCAACCTAGTCAATCTCTCCCCATACGTCAGACCCACTATCCCCGGAAACAGCCTGGTAAACCTTTGTTGCACTCCCTTGAGAGCAACAGCATCCTTCTTCAGAAAAGGAGACCAAAATTGCCCATGATATTCCAGGTGTGGTCTCACCAAGATCCCGTACAACTGCAACAACACATCCCTGCTTCTGTACTCAAAACCTTTCACAATGAAGGCCAACATACCATTTCCCTTCTTTACTGCCTGCTGTACCTGCATGGTTACCTTCAGCAACTGATGATCCCCTGTCATTGCTGAACAAACCCCTCAAGTTGTCATGAACAGGGGAGATCATATTGAGCAGCTTTGAAGGGCAGACAATTTTATCTGGCAGCTAATAGAATACTTCTACTCATATGGTTGATCCAGATTTTAATGAATAAATAAGCGTCCTCCCATTGTATTCAAAGGAAGGATTTCTTCAGACTTTGCAAGTACAACAAGCATCAGTCTCCTGTGGATTAATTCTGTCTGTGTTCTTGTGCTCTGTTATGTTTAATTTCATTCCTCAAACAGGTACAGGATAATCATTAACTAACCATACAAACCACTTCTAATAGCAGATTTTCAGACTGTGTCTTTAAGATGAATGCAGATAAATTAGCCCTGGAAAGGATCACAAAATTGAAACAATGGTACATTTTGGGTTAGTCAGGGATAAAAAATCAAAACCACACTCTATGTGGGTGTTCACAATAGTTAACTTGATCATGGTTATCTTCAGTGCAATGAGTTTTGCATATTTATTTTGCAGACCTAACTTTACAGTAGAACAAGGAAAATTTCATAGATACTCCAGAGACCAAGTGGCTAATATCATTTTTAATAAGTGTTTAAATATTTAAAGTTTAGATACTAACAAACCTTATTTTTTGTCCACTGAGATTAATTTCTGCTCAATTATAATTAATTTCAATGTAAATGTTATTTTTACTATAATTTAATATAATTTAATGTTGTATTGTAATCTCTATGGTAAAAGTTGAAAGTGGCCTGTGAAAGGTAGTCTAATTGTAATGAACGGCATACCATCATTAGGTCTTTTATAAATAACAACTGTATTCTGTCTGTAACATCTTTGACGTTTACTTCATTGCTGGAGGCTGTAAACAATTAACCATTTTTTATATTTTATAGGATAAACTAGAAAACTGAAGAAAATTACGAGCTACTGTTGACAAAAAGCAGTAAAAGGAAGCAAAATGAGAGTCAGGATTGGGCCTACTGCAGTTTACATTTTATTTACTCAATGTTTTGCTGCCTTAGCTGTGAATTCTGCTGATGCAACAGGGCCAAAGGTTTCTGCCATTAACAACTCCCTTCGCAATGAGGGTAATTCTTCTGGAGATCTTACTAAAACCAGCAGTGTTTCTGTAACTGAATCCAATCAGACAGGAGCAGTGTCACCTACATTGAAACCAGGCCCAACAAGTAACAACACGAGTGCCTTAGCCCCTGGGATTACTGTTGCCACATCAACTAAATCAATGAAGCCTGCTGCGCCTGATGGTTCTCAAACTTCTAAAACAGGAATAACAGTATTTCAAACAACACCGCCTCACATTTCAAGTCACTACATGCCCGAGTCCACTACGAGTGCAACATTTGTTTCAACAGCTACAGAGAGTGAAATTAATGCAACGCATCAAGTCTCAACATCAAAAGTGACAACTGTACTGAAGCCAACACAGAGAGGGTTCACTGAAACAAATAAACAGCCAACCAGTGCTGGTGTCACTCAACCTAATACAGGTTCACTGTACTCGATCATAACAACTAAAACTTCAGGTAAGGTTTGATAGAAATACAGTGGAATGAGAAACACCATTTTCGCACAGTGAGTAGTTAGGGTCTGGAAAGCACTGTCTTGGAAGTGTGTTGGATGCAGCTTTAGTTGGAGGACTCTAGGGCATTGGATGAGTGATTAAATAGAAACAGTGTGCAGGGTTACAGGGAAAAGTCAGGAGATTGGCACCAACTTAAAATGCTCAAAATTGGTGCAGATATGAGGGGCACCATTGTAATTTTGTGATAGTTAAAAAGACAGATTGTTTGATTTTCTGATTTAAAGGATTTGGGAAAAAAAATTTTTGATGTTCCAATTATAAAAGCAGTGATTATCCTCCAGTATGAAAAGGCAAAAGAAAGTTAATTACTATGCTTAATGTAGTTAGCTGCATATGTAATTAAATATTTACTACTCATAGTGTTGGAAAGCCTTAGATTCCTCTGTAGAAGGAATTTCAAGATTAAGGCTATGGCATAGACAGGAAACAGCTATTGAGCATAGAGCAAGAGAGAGAGAGACTTGAGAATAGAAGGGTAAACAGGTTTGTTAAAGAGCAGGTTTTGTGCCCTTTGCTAAGGTGAAGAAGTGCTAAATATTGAAGAGCTCTTCTTTAAATAAACCACAACTACTGTTGTGGACACCCACGGAAGTTTTAATTTTCTATTGTTACACATAGATAAGTTGTACTGATTCAAACGAGTGGGTCTGATCATAAATATTGCCCTGCATGTTCATTTTATTGTGAAAAAAGTAGTTACTCGTTTGTATTCAGCCTTGCCTGACCTCCTCAAATTAATTGAAAAGATTGAATCAGCACCCAGGATGAAGGGAAAAAAAGTTACCATAAGCTTAAGACTAAATGTGGTCAATATCTAAATTAGAGAAGCACGAAGTAATCTCTAATGAAAATATATCCCATATCACTAGTGTTCATGTTAATTTTATTTTTTAGCAAAGATTACCAAATCTTCTAGTGTGAAAGTTGACAAATGTGGTTTTGATCACAATATATTAATTTGAATTAATTTTTAAAAAAACTTACACCATAGCTCACCTGTACACCAGTCTGAACCATACAGTCTCTACAGAAAATCTATGATCTGTCATCCAGGTGCATATGCTGAGATCTAGACATGTACCTCAACACAAAGCCTCTGCCACCATTTACTGAATGAATATAGTACACCTCATTTGCCAGAAGCCAAAAACAGCAGTATGGTGTTCCAAAACAGCAGAAGATTCCAGATTGGGGATACAAGCATTATTTTTCACAGACACATACCCATTTCTCCTTCAATACTCTAATCAAGGGGTCCATTAGATCATAAGACAGGGAGCAGAAGTAGGCCATTCGGCCCTTCGAGTCAACTTTTGCCACTCAATAAGATGACAGCTGATCTGATATTTCTCAACTTCACTTCCCTCCCTTTTCTCCCACAGCCCTTGATTCCCTTACTGATTAAAAATCTGTCTGTCCCAGCCTTGAATATTCTTAATGACCCACCCTGTACAGCCCTCTGTGGTAAAGCATTCCACAGATTCCTTACACTCTGAGAGAAGAGATTTCTCCTCACCTCTATCATAAACAAGCAACCCTTTACTCTGAGATTATGCCCTCTGGTCTTCCCACAAAGGGAAACAGCCTCTCAACGTGATCCAGTCAAGCCCCCTAGGAATCTTCAATGTTTCAATCAGGTTACCTCTTATTCTTGGCCTCAAGGAGTCTAATATTGCCACCTGGGTCAGTATAGTCTCAGCCATCTGGAGGAATGCCCAGAACTGTGGGAAGAAGGTCAATGACCTTCTCCACTCTGCCAGTAAGTGCCATCATCTTCTCTCTAATACCGCTCTCTCACACACTGTCCCTGCTACTGTACCCACCTTGGCACATGGTCTATCACCGCTCCTATTCCAATTAACATCTTCCCTCGCTCTGTCACCCAACCCAACACCAATATCCCTGCTTGCCTCTGTTTTGCCTACTCACTCACTCAGACACCTCCCCACCTGCATCAAAAGTAAACGCTGTTATGTTACCCCACTTGCACCTTCCTTAATACCTGTCTTTGTCTCATTCCAAGTAGAAAACAGCACCCAATTTGGGCAAAAAGTGTCCTAATGAGGGTGGTCCAACATACAGCTTCCTACTCCTTATGTGGAGGGCCACCCCAAGTGGCTGACTGCCTATGCCCAAGCCCCTGGACTGGTATTGGAGACTGCCCTTGACTCATTGTGCCAGGACCCTCTGAGCAAAGACTTGACAGAGGCCTGCAGACAAGCATGACTTGTTTCCATCCTTTGTGCCTTTACTGAATGGCAAGGCAAGAACAGAAGTAATATGAAACAAACACAAAGCATGTTGGAGAAACTACTTAGTCTTCCAGCATCTGGAGAGAGAGAAAGAGTTAACGTTTCGAGTCCAATATGACTCTTCTTCAGAGCTCAGTAGTAATATGAGCCTGGTATCTCTGGCTGAGAGGGAAAAGGACAAAAAGACAAGGCAAAACACGAATGCTGTGAGCATCCAAGCAAGTTCAGAGTGAGTGAGCACTATAACAGTGAGTGAAAGAACCCAGAGATGATCCTTGCTCCTTGCGCAGCCTGGTCCAGTCCTTGAGCTGGGTGTGTGTCCCTGAACAGGCAGTGTCCATGCTGTAGTATTATAATGATAGTTGCTGATGCAGCCTGAGATGTAGCGTTGAAGTGCACAAGCATCTGTAAATTGATCAGAGATATGCCACGAGGGTTTTTGGAGGCTGACACATATCAAAACCCTGAGTTCCCCATCATTTCTGGTACGTTATTTATGTCCTCCTTTGTGAAGACAGAAGCAAAGTATGATTTCAGTCCGTCAGCCAGTACCCCATTATAAATTACCCCGTTTCTCATTGTAAGGGACCTGCATTAGTTTTTACCTATCTTTTTCTGTTTATATACCTACAGAAACTTTTACAGTCAGTTCTTCTGTTTCACACAACCTTACACTCATACTCTATTTTCCTATTTTCAATCAATTTCTTGGTCCTCCTTTGCTGACTTCTAAGCTGTTTCCAATCCTCAGGTCTGTTACTTGTTTTGTTGCCAATTTGTATGCCTTTTTTTTCCATCTAATACTATCTCCAACTTCCCTCATAATCCTGGATTGGCTTCTTTTCTGTTTTAACTTTTGAACTAGACAGGAAGAAACAATTTTTGTAGCTCACCCATTTGTTCCTTGAATTTTTCTCACTGTCATTCCTTTCAGAAAACCTTTCCCAATCCATCATAGCCAACTCATACCCAATATACCATTGTAGCTTCCCTCATGAAGATTCAGGACTCTCGTCTCAGAATTAACTACCTCACTCTTCATCTTGATAAACTATTTTACTTATTACGGTTATACACCCCCAATGGAACTCTCACAACTACATTACCAATTATTCCTTTCACAGTGCATAATATCCAGTCTAAGATTGCCTGTCCTCTGGTTGGTTCCTCAAAGTATCAGTCCAGAAAATAGTCCTGTACACACTCTAGTCTTGTGACTAATCTCATTTGCCCAATCAATGTGTAGATTAAAGCCACCCATAATTACAGATGTTCCTTTACTCGTGTTTCCGATTTCCTGTTTGATGCCATTCCCAACATTACAGTTCTGGCATCTGGTGTCCAGGAGCTGCAACTGGAGACCCTTCCTGCACAGGTCCCAGGTACTGGAAATGTGCCTGGCTTCCCATATAGAGCAGGAGAAGTAGACCACATCTTTGATCTCTCCTCCCATGACTTACCCTTTTAAATCTTTTGGAAGATGCTTAATATTAAATACTACCAATTTCTCTAGGGCCCTTCTTTCCTGTTCATTGTTGCTACAGAATACAGCCCTTTGAAACTATAAACCATGTAAAGACTTTACAAACAATAAGCGATAAAAGTTGTAAATATTTACTTGATCTTATCTGCTGCTTACCAATCACCTTTCTCCCTTGGAGCCTGTACTCCTGCAGTAGGGTAAGACCACTCAGGTTACCCTGTGATGTCACTCTTTATTTCTTCCCAACAAGCAGGACAGTTTTCCCAGATTGCTTCACCATGATGCCGACTGCGAGGACACTTGTGGGGAAAGAAACCCAAATCAAAATCTATTGAAAATCAAGTGTCAGCTTTCACGCCCTGACATTGAAATAGGGGCAAATACTTTTTGGAAACAGACACATAGGCAGCACAGTGGCTCAGAGGTTAGCATTGCTGCCTCACAGCACCAGCGACCCAGGTTTGATTCCAGCCTCGGGCAACTGTCTGTGTGGAGTTTGCACGTTCTCCCCGTGTCTGCATAGGTTTCCTCCAGGTGCTCTGTTTTCCTCTCACAGTCCAAAGATGAGCAGGATAGGGGGATTGGTTATGCTAAATTGCCCATAATGTTCAGGGATGTGTGGGTTAGGTGGATTAGCCATGGGAAATGCAAGGTTATAGGGATACGGTAGGAGGGTGGGTCTGAGGGGATGCTCTTTAGGGGGTCAGTATGGACTTGATGGGTTGAATGGCCTGCTTCCACCCTGAAGGGATTCTATGATTCTAGATAAAATGTCAGATACTGCTGTGAAGACCAAGGCGAAGACTGTATTGTGTTAGCAACTAAACAACAGAATGCTGTGGTGAGAGATGGTTTTCTGTTTGAAAAGAAGAGGATGGAACAAATGCAGATTTTGGAGATTTAAAGATCAAGGAATAACCAAAGTAGGCCTTGATGATGAAATTTGTTTATGGAATATTAAGGCTGAGTGGAATTATTTTAAGAGAATACTAGATCACATTTGAAGTATTGTGTTCAGTTCTGGGCACCTTTTTTTAGGAAGGGTGTTAAAGACCTGAAGACAGTGTAAAGAAAATTTACTGGAATGATACCAGGAATCAGGGATTTTAGATACAAGGTTAAGAAATTTGGGTTTACTCTCCTCGTAGCAGGAAAGATTAAATGTGACCCTATTGAGGTGTTCAAAATTATGAATGATTTTGACAGGGTAGAGAAGGCTATTCTGTTTCCACTAGTTGGCATGTCAGTAACTATCAGTCACAATTTCAAGATTGCCAGCAAGAGAGCTAGGAGTGAAATGATGAGAAACTTCTTTATTTAGATATGTAATGGGATTTGGAATGCAAATGCCCTGGGAGAGTCGTGGCGGTGGATTCCATAGGAGGTTTCAAAAGAGAGCTGGACATATAAATGAAAGTAATGATTTTGAACGGCTATGGAGTTGGGGCTAGAGAATGGACTAGTTGGTAGCTGTTTTGGGAACTGGTACAGACATGATAGGATGAATGGCCTCCTTCTATACTGCAAACTTCTATGAGTCTACAATTCTAGAATATTTGACCTGATGTGGTAGTGAGGACTGAGCTTACTGGAAAGTTGGGAGTAACTCGGCACTTCCATCATTACACATTTGTTAGAAGTGTTGGTGCACGGAAGAGTGAGTTGTAAGGTAAAAGTAACCTTTCTCTAGCTTGGTGTATTTGGTTGCCTGTTAAGTAAATTTTAGCTTGTTTCTTACTGAAAAAGACTTCAAATGTGAGATCCTTTGGTAATTTTCGTTGGTCACTGAAAATTTCATCTAATTTTCCTTTTAGAAAATTGATCAGTCTTAATGGGAAGCATAATTCTGTCATTGTATAGCCATTTAACAACTAAGCTAACCCTTGTACTAAAGCCTGTCATCATAATTTGTTAATTGTATTCCACAGCTTTATCCCTTATTTTGTGAAAGCAGTATATGCACTTGATTTTGAGTAGTTTTTTTTTTGTTGAACACCTAGGTAAACCAAATAAATTAATAATTTGTAACTTAAGAGAAAAAAGGAAGACACTAATAGTTCTAATTTTGTTTCTTCCAGGCACAATCATGCATCTGAAAAAACAAGAAATAATTCTGACTATCTGCTTGAGTACCATTCTTGGAGTTGTGATTCTAACTATTATTATGTATAATGTCACCAAATGCAAACGAAGGAGAGCCCAGTATTCCCATCGCCCTCTCTGTGCCACTTCAAATGAGGAGTCAGGTATGCATAGTAACACAAGACAAACAGAAACCACGAGAAATAATTAGCAGGTCAAAACTGAAAGGAATGTAGATCAGCTTTGTTTAATAAAACTAAATCAAGTAAAATAAAATTAATTGCTTTGAGCTCCTGGTAATAAACTTAGTTACAATTTGTGTTACTTTTAGATTTTTCCCAAGATCTTGCTACATGTTCTGTCACACACAGCAGTTTCCATAAGCACATTAAAACATGCATATCTCCTAGACTGACCTAGAGTCTCCAAAATTAAAGATTAATCTCTACAACATTGTGGCAAGCCGCAGGAGAGAAATTCAAAAGGACATTAAAATGTTTTAAATTTATACTTTTGTTTATTTTGTTTCTCGATTATAAAAGTATTGGCAGTGTAATGAAAGGCTGTTTGGAAGTCAAAAACATCCAGTTAGATAAGAGTCTTTCTAATTAATGTGAGGATAGGTGTGTCAACCAGTGGAAATGGAGTAGGTGGATGCAGAAAATCAAACTTTCAGTAACAGATCGTACCAAAGTTGGCAACACTCCATCGTTTGTCTGTATTTAATAACTAAACTCTAACCAGAGTAAGCCAAATACTCCAGAATACATTGAACAACAAATATGTTCTCCAGTCGCCTACTAAGGAGGAAAATAAAAATAATAATAAAATCAGGTCCCATGAGAAATTACAGAAGAAATTAAAGGCGCTGAATCTGTCCACAGCAATTGCAGCATGAATATACAACATCACTTTGTCACCATTCTAACCAAATTAACATTTTGTCTTGAAATTGTTTTCAAAAGCTTGTGATTAAAAGCATATCTCCATTATCATTGACAATACAGATTCCAGGCTAGTACTACGCTCTTCTTGGTAAACTGAAGTTTTAGCTCAGATTTTAAGTTACTGTAATTTACTCATCAATATTTACAGTAACCAAAACTAACAAGTTTTGGAACAAATTATCGGGTAAAATGCAACTGATTATTACCCCTCAAAAATTATAAATCACTTTATTCAGCGGCTAGGAAGATTGTGTCCAATGTGGGCAATTGAGTTAGTTGAGTAAAATGTAGCAAAATCAGAAGAAATTAGATTCTTCACAGAGTGGGGGCGGGGAAAAGAAATCCAATGCTGGAACCAAGTTTTGAATGGCAAGACCAGAATCTCACTAGTGAGCAACGAGAGGCCCATTTGTGTGTTGTTAATACCAAAACTCATTTTATACGTGGTTTTCTATTCGCCCATGCTTTGGATAGAAACTACATACACTCTTCTTGACATCAAAGTCAGAGCAGGTACCTAGCAACTCCAATTTGCTGCTTCCTCCTCTGGGTCTCCATCTTGGATAGCAGTCCCCCACACAGTCCATGGGTAGGGACTGCCCACAAACCCAACCATGAAGTTGGCATCAGACAAGTACCAGCTTCACTGCAACACTGTGGCGCATCTCTAAACCATGTACAATATGGTTCCCAACTTCAACGCTGCACTTGAAGCACAGCTGTGATCATTGCTGTACTGTGCTATGTCAATGTTATAACTACAGTATGGAACCAGCAACGAATGTAGCCAACACAGAGAATATGGTCATTTGGGTGATGCAGATGCAGTAGTCTTCAGTCAGGCCAATGGAGATGGCCTACAGTTAGGCAATTTCAGTTCAAGGGCTTGGATACAGTCAGTCAATCACTTGAGACAATCAGGATCACGGGTTAGTTATCTATATCTCAGGGAGAGGGCCACAGCCAAACCTGTAGGTCCAGTGCAAACAGCTTGGGAGCTCTTGATAAGTCATTCGGAGAGCCGTACGGAAAGCTGACAGGGGCTGCTCAAACCTCAGTTGGGGCTATCTGTCTAAGTTGGTCAGGGGAGTGGGCTGTGGTCCGTCCTGGGGTCAGCACAGTGGAAGTGAAGTAGGAGTTATCCGTGACCACTTCTGTGGTGAGGAAGTTGGGAAAATTAACTCTGGGGATTGAAAGTAGCCTGCTGGGATGCAGAGAGGACTGTAATTACATATCAATAGTCACAACTGCCCTGGCATCAGGGGGACAGTGTAGCACGATGGTTGGCATTACTAAGCTGTAGGGCTGAGGTCTATAATGGGTATGATAAATGCATAAATCAGAGTTGGGTGAGAATGTGTGAAAGCTCAGTACTGATGGAGTCAGCAGAGAGTGCAAAGAAGAAAGGAGGTTCATGGCAGGGGTTTGGAAGTTTGAATGCCAGGATGAGCCTGTGACTGACTGTGCTAAGTGTGATCTACACTGTCTTCCAGCCTCATGCAAACCATAAATGTGCAATGGAAATGGAAAATATCTGTGAACACATTCAGCAGGTAGAACAAGTAATTTTATCCTGTCTAAGCATGTGAGCTTTACTTGTGAGCAATTTGAATCCCTTCAAGGGGTAATTGCATTTAATTGGGTTTTTATACAGTCCAGGTTTAAGATATCTGTAAACATAATACCCTGCACGTGAAATGCATGCAGTGTCCTAACGTGTGGGATACAAAATCCTGGCCATGGGCAACCTTCATAATTCCATTGGCCATTACAAATTAATGATGGCCATTACAGATTGATGATGGCCATCTCTGTGAAGCTGCAGTAATCATTGGCAATCTTAAAAGTTTCACTGATTGTCCATGATTCACAAAGTCAATCCAAGATTCCACAGGCAGCTCAAGAGCATGGAACTGATTCCCTCGCAACTTGAATTGTAAGTATTTAACAAAATGCTCTTTAAACAACTCTGACTTTCTTGGGTAATATAGGTGGAGGCAAAAGCAAGGTTTCAGTAATCTCCAGCACTTATCATCATCTTTTGTCCTTGCAACACATGATTTGAGCTGCATAAATCAGAATAACATCCACTATATCAACGTTTTGAGGCATTTCATGCCCCCTTTGTTGGAGTCCTTCATGTCACCTATGGAGGACTAGGATAAACTGACATTTGTGTGTATGACAAATGCTGGCTGTTTGCATTACTAAGAACATGTTCTGTTTCTAATATTCCCCACACAGGTTCATTGGAAGCGTGATCCAGCCACAGCAGGGATTATTGTCACCATGGTCATGCTATGAAGTTGCAGAGAAATGGAGGGTACCAGATGTACTGGTATGCTCCTCATCTGTAGCTATATCCAGAAGATCCCCTAAGGATATACAGGAAGGCCGAAGGCCAGAGTCCACCCTCCTCAATGCCATTTCCTTCAGATGAATTAGGCTTAGCAATGCCACAAACTGATGATGTCCCAAGACACCATCACAAATCTATGCCGACTGCTGGAGAAGGACACGTGACCTGAAGGGATGTGACCATTCTATCCCAGTGGCTATCAAGATGATGGTTGTGCTACGCAAAATAAAACTTTTCACTGTACTTTGGTACATGTGACAATAATAAATCAAATTTTAAAAAATTAAGGATACACTTTGTGGGATTTCATAACCCTCAATGTGCAAATATATCTAGATTGTTACCAACACGATTTATGGCAGATCACACCACACCATTTCATCTCCTTTCCCGTATGGAGGGCAGGCATTCCTCAGGTACAGACTGTACACACGTCATTTGACACCACACATAAAGCAGCAAACTTCATCAGCAGAAAAGGATTTCATTACATCAATGTACAAGTCATCTTTTGATCATTGGTATATCTAGGCACCTTGGGAGCTCCCATTTACTTGAGATCTTCCATGTTGCTGCTTTGTTTCAAGGGCCAGAGGCCTTGTAAGGACAGTTACTGGGGATCAAAGGGCTAGTCTCTGTAACCATTGCTGATTAAACAACCCCCTGAATGAGGCTAAGCAGAGATATAATGCCACTCATTCTGCCACCAGGGCCATCATAGAGCGGATATAGGTGCCCTTGAAATGACGTTCTGATGCTTGGATCAATCTGCTGCAGGGACCTTGCAGAACAGCCCAGTCACTGTGTGCTGCATAATCCTTGCATTCTGCACTCTGCATAAGTAGAGTTGGGAAACAGGGGATGTGATGGATGCTGAAGAGCTGGGAGAGAAGTCTTCCAAGGAGGAATTCAAAGACATTGAGCAGGAGGATCATCACCAGCACAATAGAACCGTATAGCGCCAGGCACAACAAATCCAGTAGGACTTGATAGATACCTAGTTCTAATAGATATTAACTGGGAGGAGTGATATTTCATTGCCTTTTGAGCAGCAACAAATTCACAGTCAATCAGTCCCAGTTTGTTTCTAGAAGCAAATGCAGATTTTCATTGCTCTTCTGTTGCTTTTGCTGTGTGAATAAAAGTGAATATTTTCAACAGAGCTTTTCCAGTACTTGATGGTCCAACATTGAACAATGAGAAGATATTATGTTACACTGGGCATTAGGCCAAGTGTAGTAGCCCCTTTAGGCTGCTGTACTATAGTATGACTCTAAGGACAGGTAGTCTATTAAGCTTGTTTCTTGTAACTGCAGTTACCATCACAGCCGCTCAGATGGGTGATGATGTAAATAGCGTTACATTTTTGAATATGCACTTGTATTTGCAACCGTGCCATCTATGTGCCCTCAGAAGCTTTTCATTTTCAATTCTTTCCCATTACATGCACTGAGAAGGGCAGCTGTTGGCAGGCAGCACTTGATCTGCTGTATAGCTAGGCTTTAAAAGTAATACTATCACCAGGAATACCAACTGGTTCTAGCAGTGGCAAATACAATTGCCATTGCTGAGCAGAAGGTAGTGTAAGCAGGGCACCATAGAGACATGGCTCATAGTGTATGAGGCAAGTTGCAGAGAACGGCATGAGAACACTCACTAGAGCTCCTGGTGAGAAGCCTCTTTTTGAAACTCCCTGAAATTGACGCTTAGCCAATTTCTTTAGTAAAATTCAGCCTTTTGTTTTCTTAAGAAAGTATTTATAATATTGCTGTAAAAACTTACTGAAGGAACATTATTCTGTTTTGATGCTGTGAAATCGTCGTGTTCAATGCGGCTCATGGAATTTTTGGATTGTCCACCAGCGATACTGGTGATGAAGATCAGAGTGCTTAGAACACAGTAATTAAGAACATACAGTCTAACAATTAAATTTCTCCTCTTGGTTCCATATAAATAATTTCGTGGTTACATCTCAGGGGTCTCTTCATCTTGATAACCAGTATAACTGGTTGAAGGGTTAACAGTACAATCTGTGACCAGTTCAGTTTGAACTTGAAATGGCAAACAGAGTCCCTTCTATGCCGTAAGATATTGATTTGCTTCTTAAATGCAGCTGGCTGGCTGACTGAAGCAGACATCCATGTTAGCCACTTAATTGGCAAATTTCCAAGATGATTCAGGTCTCCAAAACTTAGACTAAAGTCTAGACTTCCATGATGAACACTGGAGAAAAATCAAAGGCACTAAACTCACTAGAGATTAGTCTAATTCTGTTGTGTGAATGTCTATTTTCTTTTATGCAGGGCGAAGCTACAATATTCCAGATGACACATTGGTAATTTCAGGAGGTCTTTATGATGAATCACGTGTTTATAATCCCAACATGACTGTCCTTGAAGAAGATGATGAGTTTCACGGTGACTATCCTGCATTTACTTCCAAGTGCAGCCAATTCAGACTGGAATTTTTACCGGAAGAAAGGGAGGTCACAGGTCAAGGATCTTCCTTTAACACATTTCAACCACAAACATAGGTTCATTATAACCTACTATGAAAATTCTGATTCACTCTTGTTTCATGTATAGGTTTTGATTGATAATAAAATGAATAAATAATAGGTAGACTTTCATACTTTGGCCCTAAGCCTCCATAACTGAACTTCCAAACTAAGCACCTATTCTGCATTGTGTGTGCTTCTGTATTTGTACCCAAGACTCCCAAAAGATGCCTTGCAAAACTAGATAACTATGTGAATTCTGCTTGTACCACAACCATGTTCTAATTTGCAAATAGAAACATTCAGCTGTCAAACAGAAAAAGTCTTATTTACCAGGCTTTTGAAGAAAATCTTAAAATGCAGAAGTATTTCTTTCTCAAGCTGTGCACTCAAATATTTAGAGCAATATATCTAGGGAAATCATTTTCAAATGAATAAGAATCAGATATAGAAAGTCTTAATTTTTATCAATTTTGTATCAATCTAATATATTTATTTCCAGCAGGAAAATCAAACATCGAAATGTTTTAAAACTAGTAATATCTCCATGCACCAAGATGTGTCCTCAATTAGTACTTTAATTTGTTTTTTTAGAAAATCTGATCACTGAACTGCTCTACTTCTGTGCATATGCCCTAAAGCCAGATATTAAAAACCTGTCATTTGGGAGCTTGCAGCATTTACCCACGCCAACATATTCCCTTCAGCAACTACTCGCTGGTTCTCTGGTGGTTTGGTCATGGAATATCAAGAAGGAAGAATAGCAAATTTACTTGGGCCTGCACACTATTTGTACACTGAAAACAGTGACTATTCTGCCTTAAAGGACAAAACAGCAACTTACTTTTAATGTACTGAAATATCCGAAGGCATTTTGTTAAAAAAAAGTATGACAGGGAGCAACAAGTGTCTTAAAGGAGAAAAGTCAGATGGAGAGGCTGAGGGATATAGGGAGGAAATTCTAGAGCTAGTAAAACAAGGGTGCAATAATTAAATAAAAATCAAAAGAACTGTGGACGCTGTAAATCAGGAACAAAAACAAAGTTGCTGGAAAAGCTCAGCAGGTCTGGCAGCATCTGTGAAGGAATAAACAGTTAACGTTTCGGGTCCGGTGACCTTTCCTCAGAACTGGAAGTTTTCCAGCAACTTTGTTTTTGTGCAACAATTAAAATTGGTCATGTCACAAAAACACAGTAATAGAGGAATATTCATATCTCAGAAGATTGTGGACTGAGTGAACAATAAACAGTCTGCCTTGGAATAGGATTGATCGATTCTGATATAGCAAACAAATTCATCCCCAAAATGATTTCCTGCTAACTGCACTTCTTATAGATCTGCCTAAAATTAACTTAACAACAGGTACAATATGATGACCTGCAATGATGTAGGAATATGACTAGTTCCACAGGGGCCAGGTAACTGATGCAATATTTATTTTTACAGAATAAGGGCTAAATTGTTGATTGTACTTAAAGATATAATGTTTAAACATATCTCTGGTGTCTGAAACCTGTTGCAATCTATTTTAATGTTGTATAGATTTATTTTTATAAACATACCAGGATGATAAATAATTTTATAATGACTTTCACCTGAATACTTATCGAAAGTAAAGCTTTTCCACAATCTATCACACAGCATTTCTGTTTGGTTAATTTTTTTTTTTGCATCTCAGTCTGCTAAATTAACAACAAATGCTGCAATAAGAAAATGTATAAGCTTTTATAAGTATCTGAGTGTTAGCTATGCAATGCATTGGGAGATGCCTTTGAGATTGTTCTTAAAAGTTTTGAGGTGTTTTGTTGATAAAAGTGTTTTATTGATAAAGTTCACACAAAGCATAAATATTTTCAGTGTGAAATTTCATTGCAAGCAGCATACAAAAGGCCTTTCTGAGCTTTTGATGCTCCGGAAATGCTACTGACTACTTCTATCTGTTGTTTGTATAATCTTAATTCACAGATTCGCTGTGCACCTATCTATTCTTCATTATTTAACTGACAGGAACTGTCACCACTATGTGGGATTAGGTATGTCTTAATGTGGAGTATGAGGAGTGGAGGGTCATTGCTGGCTGGGAAAAAAAAGCTATCTTTGGCCAATTTCTCAACCACATGTAGCACTATGAGGCCACAACAATTCATACACTGGGCCACATTAACTGCTTGCTCCCCATGATTCACAAAGGGAAATAAAACATTTACATTACCTTGAATGACCAGTTTAGTTCCCCAATCCTCATCGTGCTGGTACTTCACCTTGCAGAACACTGAAAGCAGATTGACTTGCAGGATATACTCCACCAGCACAGAATTAATACTCCACTTAGCTTATCCAGAAATGATTTTATTTTCCAAATAGCAAATGGTGCATGAATCCAGGTAACTTTTGACTGCAGGGAGAGTGTTTGTGTGAATAAGAAAACTAGTACCATATCCTAAAGCAGGATTGTAGAAGGTCTAAACTGGGAACTGCCCAATAATTTCAAAAGCTGTGTTGGAGGTCATGTTTATACATAAATGGGGAGGTAAAGACAAAGAAGGTCATTTGCTACGCACGAAATGATACAAGATGTCAGAAATTTGAAGGAAACAGTGACTGATACTAATAAATGCACTACTAGTTTTCACTCAGTGCTGGAAATATTTAATTAATCTCATCAAGTCAGTCAATGTAGCACAAGCAACATCAAAGACTTAGATACTGCTGTAAGTATACTGCTTCATCGATGCGAACTTGCCTGAAAGAAGGGATGAATGAGACCATTAGTAAGCAAAAAATACCCTCACCATAGCTCACATGGCATGCCATTCCACGTTTTAGATATCACTTTTAATGTCAATGTACATCACAAGATGTTTCAAAGAACTTTAGTTAGAAAAATATGGATACTGAACCAAAGAATGAGTTGGTAAGAGTGGCAACCAGTAGCTTACTCAAACAAGTGGCTTTCATGCAGATTTTCAAAGGAGTAGAGAGATTGAGAGGGAGAGAGTTTAAGAAGAAAATTGCACAACATGTGGACTCCTCACTGAAGGGAAAAGGAGGAGAGTTGGAAAAGAACCCAGAGTCAGAGTTGTTGGGCTGTTAAGTTAAATAGGACTGAAACTATGAAGGAATTTTAATATGTGGATGAGATTTTTAAAGTTGAAATGGTGAGGGATTGCCAGCCAAAGTAAATCAGCAACAGCAGGAGTGATAGGTGATCAGAACTCTATGGTATAGAACATGACCAGAAGAATGTGAGTGAGGACAAGCTCATACTCAGTGATGGATAGAAGACCAAACAGCAGAACTTTGGAATAGTTACGTACGTCTGGAGGTTACAAGGACATAGATAGGGAGTTTGGACGTACTGGGGCTGAGTCAGAAATAGAGTTGGGCACTGCCTCAGGATGGAAGTAACTGGTCCTCGTGATAGAGAGGCTGAGACAGAATTTCAAAAGGGTCAAACTGGAAACCAAGGTTATGAAAATTCTGAGGTAATGATCAGGGAGGGAAATGGATTCAGTGGCAAAGGGAATGGATGGGCCAAGACTAAATGGTGTTGTGGAGGAATGTTGAATATCAGATGAAGGACAACAGCAGAAGCAGAGGAAAGCTTCAAAAGTGTGGCATAGAGGTAGGCCTACTGTCATCAGAATACATATCAAAGTGCATCCCGTCACCATCATTTTATCTAATACTTCTGCAGTAGAACTCATCTGTGATCTAGCCTTTGGGATGTTGGCATCAACATTCCCAACTGTAGTCCACAAGTGCCTGGTCACTCATTATAAGCAGTAACTCCTAACGTATATTGTATGTCATTACCTGAGCTACTGGCTGTTAATGTTAAAGTCGGGTAACAGTGTTTCTTCTTTATCAGTATCCTACTCCACTCGGACTTCACATTTCTGAAAGTTTTTGGCGATTTGAAAGGAGAAAAATACAAGGGTAGGGGTAGGGTGAAGAAGGAGCAAAAGTGAGAACTTTTAGCTTATTGAATCTTCAGTTTTGAACTATGGAATGAGTGCAGAGTATCACACAAGATGTCATCTTCAACTACTGTTTATATCCCACTACTGGCCATGACCTATGATATAACTAGCACCTTCTCTCCACTGGGATGATGATAGGTGCTGTTGCTTGACTTGTTGATTAGGCATTGCTGTGTCTGTTAGAGAAAGGCAAGTGTATCTATTCATGTTTGGATTATATAAAGAACAAAGAACAGTACAGTACGGAAACAGACCCTTTTGGTCCAACTAGTCCATGCCGACTATAATCCCAAACTAAATTAGTTACTACCTACCTGCTCCTGGCCCATATCCCTCCAAACCTTTCATGTTCATGTACTTATGCAAATGTATTTTAAACATTGAAATCCCCCCTTCTAGGGAAAAGGCAACTCCATTAACTCTATCTATACCCCTTATTATTTTATAAATTTCTATAAGGTTGTCTCTCAACCTCCTAAACTCCAGTGAAAAAAGTCCCAGCCCTTCTCTATAACTCAAACCTCCCATACTTGGCTGTATCCTGGTAAATCTCTTCTGACCCCTTTCCAGCTAAGTAATATCCTTCCTATAACTGGGTGACCAGTACTGGACACAGTGTTCCAGAAGAGGCCTCACCAGTATCCTGCACAAGCTCAACATGACTTCCTAACTCCTATACTTAAAGGACTGAGCAATGAAGGCAAGCATACCAAATGCTTTTTTAACCATCCTGTCTATATGTAATGTGAACTTCCAAGAATGATGTACTTCAACTCCTAGGTCCTTCTGTTCTACAACATAAACATGCTATATGC